ACAGGGTGTGGCAGGGGCGTGGTGGGAAGAACAGGGCGTGGCAGGGGCGTGGCAGGAAGAACAGGGTGTGGCAGGAAGAACAGGGCGTGGCAGGAAGAACAGGGTGTGGCAGGGGCGGGGCATCAGCCCTGGGGGCGTGGCTGCACCAACAGGGCGTGGCAGGTGTGTGGAAACCCCCCCAAGAACCTGACAGCAACACCCCAAAAACATCCAAAAAAACCACCCCAAAAATTCCATAAAACACCCCAAAAACAACACAAAAAAACAACAAAAAAACTCCATAAAACACCCCAAGAACACCCCCAAAACAACACAGAAACACCCCAAAAAACTCCAAAAACCACCCCAAGGAACACCCCAAAAACTCCCAAAAATCACCTCAAAAACATCCCAGAAACCGCACTCAGAACACCCCAAAAACACCCTGAAAAACACCCAAAAACATCTCAAAAACATCACAAAAACCACCCTGAAAAACACCCCAAAAAACGCAAAAAAACACTCAAAAAACACCCAAAACCATCCCAGAAACACCACGAAAAACACCCAAAAAACACCCAAGAAAACACCCCAAAAACTCCAGAAAAACGCTCCAAAAAACAACCCAAACCCACCCAAAATCCACAACAAAAACCACCTCAAAAACACCCGAAAAACCCCAAAAACACCCGAAAAAACACCGCAAAAACACCCCAAAACCCTGGAAAAACACCTGAAATCCTCTAAAAAACCAGGGTGGGTTTTTTGGGTGTTTTTCTGGAGTTTTTGGGGTGGTTTTGGGGAGGTTTTGGGGTGTTTTTGAGGTGTTTTTAGGGTGTTTTTCTGGAGTTTCTGGGGTGTTTTTTGGGGTGTTTTTGAGTAGTTTTTAGGGTGTTTTTGGGGCGTTTCTTGGGTGCTTTTCTGGAGTTTTTGGGGTGTTTTTTGTGTAGTTTTTGGTGTGTTTTTGGGGTGTTTTCGAGATGGTTTTTGGGGTGTTTTTGGGTAGCTTTTGTGGTGGTTTTTTGGGGTGTTTTTGGGGTGTTTCCAGGATGTTTTTTGGGGTGTTTTTGGGGTGTGTTTTGGTGTATTTTCAGGATGTTTTTTGGGTGTTTTTTGGGGTGTTTTCAGGATGTTTTTTGGGGTGTTTTCAGGGTGTTTTTGGGGTGTTTTTTGGGGTGTTTTCAGGGTGTTTTTGGGGTGTTTTTTGTGTGTTTTCAGGAATTTTTTTGGGGTGTTTTTTGTGTATTTCCAGGACATTTTTTCGGTGTTTTTTTGTGCATTTTCAGGATGTTTTTTGGGTGTTTTCTGGGGTGTTTTCAGGATGTTTTTTGGGTGTTTTTTGCTGTGTTTTCAGGACGTTTTTTGGGTGATTTTTGTGTATTTTCAGGATGTTTTTTGTGCATTTTCAGGATGTTTTTCGGGTGTTTTTTGGGTGATTTTTGCTGTGTTTTCAGGATGTTTTTTGGGTGTTTTCTGGGGTGTTTTCAGGATGTTTTTTGTGTATTTTCAGGATGTTTTTTGGGTGTTTTCAGGATGTTTTTTGGGTGTTTTCAGGATGTTTTTCGGGTGTTTTTTGGGTGTTTTTTGGGGTGTTTTCAGGATGTTTTTTGGGTGTTTTCTGGGGTGTTTTCAGGATGTTTTTTGGGTGTTTTCAGGATATTTTTTGTGTATTTTCAGGATGTTTTTTGGGTGTTTTTTGGGTGTTTTTTGCTGTGTTTTCAGGATGTTTTTTGGGTGTTTTCAGGATGTTTTTTGGGTGTTTTCTGGGGTGTTTTCAGGATATTTTTTGGGTGTTCTCTGGATGTTTTTTGGGTGTTTTCTGGGGTGTTTTGGGTGCATTTCGGCTGCGTTTCGGCGCCCACCTCGTGCTCCAGGGAGCTGTACTCGCCCTCGGTGTTCTCCCTGACGATGAGGATGTCGATGTCGCGGTGCCGCGTCTCCACCCCGGGCAGGCTCTGGCAGTGGATGACGTTGGCATAGAGATCCAGGCTGGTCCTGGCAGACCCCAAAAACATGCAAATCAGCCCCCGAAATATGCAAATCAGTCACCATAATAGGCAAAGCTATGCAAAATATGCAAATTGGCCCACAAAACATGCAAATGAACCCCCCAAAAAAGGAGAATCAACCCCCAAAACTACAAGGGAAACCACAAAATATTCAAATCAACACCCCAGTATGCAAATTAACCCCAAAATATGCAAATCAATTCCCAAAATATGCAAATCAACCCTCAAAACATGCAAATCAACCCCTAAAATATGCAAATCAGGGACCCAAACCTCACCAATCGACCGCTAAAACACCAACGAAACCCCCCCAAACATGCAAATGAGCCCCCAGGATATGCAAATCAGGTGCCAAATATGCAAATGAATCCCCAAATATGCAAATGAACCCCAAGATATGCAAATGAGGGCCCAAACCGGATGAGGTTGTTGCGGGATTTGTGGCTCGGGGGGAGGTTGTGGTTGGTCTCGATGTTCCCTGGAAAGGGAAAAAAATCCGGGATTGGGGAATTTGGGGAGAGATTTCGGGGATTTGGGGGGAGAATTCGGGGGATTCCAGGGATTTTGGGATCAGATCTGGAACATTCCTGGGATTTTGGGGATCAGATCTGGAACATTCCAGGGATTTTGGGATCAGATCTGGGACATTCCAGAGATTTTGGGATCAGATCTGGAACATCCCAGGGATTTTGGGAGAGGATTCCGGGGATTTCGGGATCAGATCTGGGACATCCCAGGGGTTTTGGGAACAGATTCCAGGGATTTTGGGATTGGATTCCAGGGATTTTGGGATCGGATCCCAGGGATTTTGGGAACAAATTCCAGGGATTTGGGGAACAGATTCCAGGGATTTTGGGAGTGGATTCCAGGGATTTCAGGATCAGATCTGGGACATTCCAGGGATTTGGGGAGCGGATCTGGGACATTCCAGGGATTTCGGGATCAGATTCCAGGGATTTCAGGATCAGATCTGGGACATTCCAGGGATTTGGGGAGCGGATTCCCGGGGTTCAGGAGCTGACCCTTGAGCGCCACGCCGTTGCGCCGGATGGCCGTGATGGCGTTCTGCACGTCGTCCTCGGGAGCCTCCGAATTCACCCGAACCTCCTCAAAATCCACGGGAACGCAGGCGTGCCTGGGG